TTTTTTTTTATAATATATATAAATATTATAAAAATATTCATAATATTGGAGTGGAGATTTTTAAACTATGTGCATTAATATATAGAGCCCACGTGCAATCTATTCTTTAGCACAGAAGAGGGGGGTACCGATGAGGTACAAATTTTGTAAATAATAACAGCAAAGGACATAGATTTCTCAGTGAATGGCCAGTGAAATTGCTATAAACAGGTGTCAATCATGATAGATTAGACACGAAGCTGGTTGTCCACTTCTATTGACTGTCTGCCTGCTGCTGATGGGATTAATGGGCATTTGCTTGTGATTTCAATGAATCGCGTAATCGTTTTGCTCATAAATAAATTTGTGCTGTCATATTCGTGCGGTATGATTAAACAAAACAACCTTAGACATGTTACATAAGAAGTTGTGTAGTAATTATTTTATATTAAACTAAGAAAGGAGGACCAGAAATCTTTCTTTGACTTAACTGGATTGTGCATAATATTGCAGGGCTGTATTTAAAACATTTTCTTTATTTCAATCTTAATAGGAGGATGAGGATGGGCACTTAGTGGTTTTGCAAATGATACAGGATTTGATGATAAAAGGCAAAGATGAATTTCTAGAACATTTCGCTCGTTTGGGAGTCTTTTCAAAAGTTGCTGCATTAGCTGGACCACAAGAGACTTCACCAGAACCAGAAGCAGAATCAAATCAATCTGAAGAACAAAGAATGGAAGATGCAAAAGAACTTTTAATTGGAAGAGCTTATCATTGGCGAGATTGGTGTATTTGTAGAGGACGCGATTGCTTGTATGTCTGGTCTGATGCAGCTGCTTTGGAACTATCAAATGGAAGCAATGGCTGGTTTAGGTTTATACTTGATGGAAAATTAGCAACAATGTATTCCAGTGGAAGTCCAGAAGGGGGAAGTCCAGATACATCAGGTTCGTTTGCCGTTTTTTCTTAATATTTACACGGAAATTCATCACCTATGTCTCGTCCACCTTGCCATTGTCTTTCTTGTTAAAGTGTTCCTTTCACATCTACACACCCCTCGCGACAGACAAATTGACTATTCAGATCATTTTTTATGTTATATCTTTTTCATTTGTGATTAACTTCCGCGAAGGGAATAGTTTAGTAAATAACTGGTTTTACTAACTGCCTACAGGAAAAGGAAGGAACACAGAGTCGCTTACTACTGAAGGTAGGTACTCACATGTTCAACTTTCCTAGTTGTGCATGCTTTCCTACTACCCTTCAGTGTACATCATCAGATGCATGGAAATTCCTTTATCTCTGCATGACCTGAACATTTTCTGCCACGACATTATTCGGTTCATTAAAGATTTTTACACCATTTATAGTTGCGTTAACTGTTCCGATTACTAGAACGTATATTTTTCAGAGAACCGTGGCGAATTTTTGGAGAAATTACAAAGAGCGCGTAGTCAAGTAAAAGCATATTCTGTGAGTCAACCTGTACTTTCACGTCCTGGTACCATCCGGTTAGTTGTAGGAAATTGGGCATTATCTAGCAGGAAAGAAAGTGAATTATGTATACATAATAGCGATGGTCAGCAGCAAGCGACCATCTTGCGAGAAGATTTGCCAGGATTTATTTTTGAGTCCAATCGGGGTACAAAGCATTCCTTTACAGCAGAAACAAGTTTAGGTAAATATAATCATTTAAATTTTAGTTAGATGTTGTTTTAAATAATTTGTTACAAGAGATAATTCGAACGTATTCCATTATTGTTTGTTTGTAGGCCCAGAATTTGCGTCTGGCTGGGCTGGTAAAAGAGGAAAAGTATTGAGATCTAAGATTGCAGCTATCAAACAAAAAGTTAAAGTACAAGCTCAGGATATTTATGAATGTTACTTTAAGGTTGCCCAGGCTCAGCCACGTGGTGTAGTTGCTAAACTGGGAACCATTGTAAGTCAAATTGAAAAAGCATGTCAAAAACAACAATCGGGAAATCGAGAATGGCGTAATATATTACAAAGTGCGCTAGAAGAATTGAAATCTTTATTAAACGAGGAAGGAAGAGTTTCTGCATATGAACTCCATTCTAGTGGTCTGGTACAAGCTTTACTTTCATTATTAGCGGCTCCACCGGGACCACAACCACCGACATTAAGAGCAACCAAATTGAGAATGCAGAGGGTAGCAATATTTAAAAATTGTTTCCATTCAAAAGATGCTAATAAGGAACATAACTCTGCTAAGATTCTAGTCCACAAATTGGTTTCAGTGTTAGAATCCATTGAAAAATTACCCGTTTATTTGTACGATACACCAGGCTCGGGTTACGGTTTGCAAATTTTAACGAGGAGATTGCGTTTCCGATTAGAAAAAGCAGTCGGCGAAAGCTCTCTAATTGATAGGTCTGGGCGCAGCTTAAAAATGGAACCATTGAGTACCATACAGCAGCTAGAGAACCATTTATTAAAAATGGTAGCAAAACAGTGGTACGATCACGATAGATCAACTTTTACGTTTGTTAAAAAATTAAAAGAAGGAAACAGAATAACTTTTAAATACCAATATGATTTTGATGAGAACGGACTGTTGTATTGGATTGGTACGAACGCAAAAACTTGCTCTGAATGGGTTAATCCCGGTCAATTTGGTTTAGTCGTTGTCACATCGAGCAATGGAAGAAACTTGCCATATGGTCACCTTGAAGATATTCTAAGCCGTGATCCATCAGCTTTAAACTGTCATACTAATGACGATAGACGTGCATGGTTCTCAATCGATTTAGGGGTCTGGATTATACCGAGCGCTTACACATTGAGACACGCAAGAGGTTACGGCAGAAGTGCCTTGCGAAATTGGATGTTTCAAGCATCAAAAGATGGCGTAATTTGGACTACATTGTACGCTCACATGGACGATTCGGCATTAAATGAACCTGGCAGCACAGCTACTTGGACATTAGCTCCACAAGCTGATGAAACACAAGGCTGGCGCCACTTACGGTTACAACAACTTGGAAAGAATGCATCTGGTCAAACACATTATTTATCCGTATCTGGATTTGAGGTTTACGGAGAAGTTACTGGAGTTTGTGAGGACTTAGGACGTGCAGCTAGGGAAGCTGAAGCTGGAGTTCGTAAACAACGGAGGTTAATGAAATATCAAGTACTTCGTCATTTAGTTGCTGGTGCCAGGGTGGCCAGAGGTTTAGATTGGAAATGGAGGGATCAAGATGGTGTTCCCCCAGGTGAGTTTATGATAAATGAAGATCGTTTAATCGGATGTTGTTGTTTTTATTCAATTAGTATTTGGACTAACAAGTTTCCTTTATCATCTCAGGTGAAGGCACAGTAACAGGGGAATTACATAATGGTTGGATAGATGTAACATGGGATCATGGTGGTTCCAATTCTTATAGAATGGGTGCAGAAGGAAAATATGATCTAAGAATAGTTGGTATCGTCCTTGAAACAGATAGCGGAACAAAAAGTAAAAGTGGTGGTGGTGGAGTTTTGACTGGACGGAAATCTAGTAGCACACCTAGTTTACCGGATTGTACCGATAATACGATGCATGGTTCAGTAGCTTCAACAGATCAGGCAGCAAGCGCAGATAATTTGGCAGCTAAGGTACAACTTAAAGTATTATATTATATTATACGTAATTATGTGTGTTCTAATTACGTTTTACATGAAATATTGAGAAGTGTTTATTCTTAATTAAAGTAGAAAATCACTCGCGTTTAGTGTAGTTTCAATTTTGTATTTATGACAAACAGCAAGCCGCTGAATCGATAGCAGAAAGTGTGTTATCGGTTGCTCGTGCCGAGGCGGTTGTTGCTGTAACCGGTGAAGGTGGAGCAAATTCAACGGGCGAGTTGTCCGTTGTATTACATCCCAAGCCTGACACTACTATGACAAGTGATCTGGCAACAATTGTTGAGACTCTTGCCCTTAACACTGATTCTCCCGCCAACAGTAATAGCAATCGTGCATCTAGTAGTTCGAAACAACTATTTGCGACTGTGCGAGGAAACAAGGTGTGAAACCTGTGTACTTATTAATAACATAATGATCGTACGCAAAGTGTTTATAGTACCTTTAAATTTAAAATACTTTTACAGCCAGGACCAGGTTTATTTGGTCTTGAACCTACTGAAGTATTAGACCGTGTCAGAGAAGGAGCTGACAGATTACGCAATAACACTAATAGCTTTTTGAGCGGAGAGTTACTTAGTTTAGTGCCTGTTAGAATCAGTGTATCGGGTGAATTAGAGGATAATTCATTGAGGATTAAATCCGTTCAAAGGCATCACTCTGGAATTACCGATGGTATGGTAATAGTTGATTATTGTTCCGTTTACACGTTCTGTTTTTCGTTATTTTTTGAATTATTCTTTTTTATGCAAAATAATAAAAAAACAACTAAACATTTCAATGTTCAATCATTAAAATTAAACATACTTCACGTAAAAGTTTTTATAACTCATTCGTGAGAAAGTATATTTTTTACATACCTTTGTTATTATTTACATACGTTGTTTTATGATTAATCGTAAAAATAAGTGTGTTTCCTCTAAACTAGTTGGCATAGAATTTAGTCGGGACAAAGAAGCTAGCTCATCTACGCAGAATGCAGCAGGCGGGTGTCCTGTTGCTGTTACCAATCCTATGTCTGTCTCTGTCCCCAACCTTGCTTGTACCGATGCTAACAATACTTTGGAACCAACAACACTTCCTATTGGTTTATTGGAAACCTTAACCGTAATGGCGCGAAGGCGAACATTGGGTTAGTGCCTTTGTATCGTTGCTTAGCACTATTTACATATTAATAACTTAGTTTTAATAAATTAACCATTTCAATCTTTTCTATCTAGTCAATTAGGTTGACGAATTTTTGTACATGCCTTTGCTTACAGGATAAATAAGCAAATGGTTAATAAAGAAAATTCTTCTAGGACCTACAGGTGGACAACATATTGCTTCCAATTCTAATACTGGTTCAAATTCGCGCGGACCTAATGCTATATCGAGTATACTTCGACTTGCCTCGAATCCTAATTTCCCTGGGGGCTTACTCAGTACCGCTCAAAGCTATCCAAGCTTGACCAAGTGCACTGGTCAAGTAGCTGGTAGTGGTGTTACAACAACGACTGGACCGGGCTTAGGACAGGCGCTTACAATGTCATTGACTAGTACAAGTAGTGATAGTGAACAGGTAAAAATTAGTATCCAACAACAAATCACATAATATTCTAAAAATATCAGTTTTAATATCAAATCATTTTCATTGTATCTATGAATACGGAATTTACAGTGGAATGTATAATTCTATATAATGTAATAAGCAGTTGCGGCTACAGGTTAGTCTTGAAGACTTTTTGGAATCTTGTGGAGGTGTTGCAAGTTCTAGTGCTAGTGGAGGTAGGGCAGCAGGTGGGCAAACCCTTTTGACCGAATTGGAAGATGATGAAGATGGCGTTCTTGAAGAAGAAGAAGACAACGATGAAAATGATCAAGAAGTTCGTTGAATAATACTGTTTTATTTTAAAGTGAAGCAATTCATTACATAGGATTGTATTTATATCTTTCTGTGCTTCTTTTCTTTACAGGAAGATGATGAAGAAAATGAGGAAGAAGGTGATGGCTGCGACGGTGATTATGAAGGAGCAATGGTAAGTCGCAATCTTAATCTTCTGGCAGCGTTCATGGAGGAAGAAGCCCCCCAAAACAGTAAGAGGCGTGCATGGGATGATGACTTTATTTTGAAGCGACAATTCTCCGCTCTGATCCCAGCCTTTGATCCACGACCGGGACGAACTAACATTAATCAGGTATGTTTAACGAAAATATTAAGAGATTTTCCTCAATGTAAAAAATTATATTATTATCATTATTATTATCAAATGTTTTATAGACAACAGATTTGGAAATTCCACCGCCTGGTAGAGAAACCCTATTGAATACACGTTCTGGTTCACTGCCAATGCCAAGGCTTTCTTTGACACTGAAGGGTCCAGGACTTCCGGGTGTAGCGGACGTTGAACTACCGCTTACAGAACCACATACCAGTATTTTCCAACAAGTACAAGATTTAATGCAGTTAACAGAGTTGGGTAGTCGGCAAGAAAAATTACGAAGAATATGGGAACCGACCTATACTATAATATATAAAGAAGCAAAAGACGAGGAATCATCTGGCAGAGCAACGCCAGTGGTGACATTATATTCCCGGAATACAGCTCAAAATGCTTCAGTATGCACCGTTGAAGATGTGTTGCAACTTCTGAGACATGTTTATGTATTAAGCACTACTCGCGATGACGGAAAACACATCGATTATGAAGAATCCGACGAATCAGCATGCGTGGTTCACCCAGATGACTTTACTTCGAAAAAAATTACGAACAAAATAGTCCAACAAATTCAAGACCCCTTAGCACTAGCTGCTGGAGCTTTACCAAATTGGTGTGAAGAATTGGCAAGAAGTTGTCCATTTTTGTTACCTTTCGAAACTAGGCGATTATACTTTAGCTGTACTGCCTTCGGAGCTTCGCGATCCATTGTATGGCTTCAAACACAAAGGGATGCTGTTCTCGAAAGACAACGAGCACCTGGTTTAAGTCCACGCCGTGATGATATTCACGAGTTCCGTGTAGGTAGACTTAAACATGAAAGAGTTAGTGTACCTAGGGGAGAGAAATTATTAGACTGGGCAGAGCAAGTGATGAAGGTAAATATATTCTTTAAACTTTAATGCAAATATTGTTCTTTGTATTCGGAAAAAGCAATACAAGGTTGGATTTTAATTTCACATTATAGGTAAGTTGAGTTTGTTGGCGAGGAAGGAACTGGTCTTGGACCAACATTAGAGTTCTTTGCGTTAGTTGCTGCTGAATTACAACGTAAAAACTTAGGTTTATGGTTCTGTGACGATGAAGAATCACCAGACACGGATCAATCTCGAGTTTCCGGAGATCAGATTCGACCTCCAGGATATTATGTAACCCGGCCGAGTGGATTATTCCCTGCTCCGTTACCACAAGATTCCGCAGCCTGTGATTCTGCTGTTCGATATTTCTGGTTTTTGGGTGTATTCTTGGCGAAAGTTTTGCAAGATAATAGATTAGTTGACTTACCATTGTCCCGTCCTTTCTTAAAATTAATGTGTCATGGTGACATCACCAACAACGTAAATGAAAAAATTGGTCTCAGTGGTATAACTCAAGAAAGTATGTCCTCCAGTATGTCGAGTAGCTTTATATCGGAGGAGGGTGAAGCAGATACGACATATTCATCATTAGAACCGCCATCTTGGTATGCCGGATTATTGGATATTGAAGATCTTATACTCGTTGATCCAGTGAGAGGTGGATTGTTGAAAGAGATACAAACGGCTGTTGCGAAACGCGATAGAACTCTTTCCGATGGTCATAATTCTACCGACGAAGATATGTCGTTAAATATTACTCTATGTGGAATGTCAATGCCTATTGAAGATTTAACTTTAACGATGTCATATTCTCCAAGTTCCAAAATCTTTGGATATGAACAGATGGAATTAGTGGAGGGAGGTACAGAGGTTTTAGTCACTATGGAAAACGCAAGGGAATATGCTGAGATGACCATTAATTATTGTCTTGACCGAGGAATTTCTAGACAATTAGAATCGTTTAAATCCGGCTTTTCAAAAGTCTTCCCAATGGAAAAACTTCATGCCTTTAGTCCGGAAGAAGTGAGGGCAATGCTCTGTGGAGAACAAAATCCACAATGGACCAGAGAAGATTTGCTCAATTATACTGAGCCAAAATTGGGCTATACAAGAGAAAGGTAAGAATATTTTAAATATAATTAACTTTAATTATCCTATAGTGTTATTTTATTAAAAATTATATTTTACTTCTTATTATAGTCCTGGTTTCCAAAGATTTGTCAATGTTCTACTTTCATTGACTGGACCGGAAAGAAAGGCTTTCTTACAATTTGCTACTGGATGTTCAGCTTTACCTCCTGGAGGATTATGTAATTTGCATCCTAGATTGACTGTTGTGCGAAAAGTAGATGCTGGTTCAGGTGGTTATCCCTCTGTTAACACCTGTGTTCATTATTTAAAATTACCGGAGTATCCTACCGAAGAAATACTTAAAGAAAGACTCTTGGCTGCAACTAGAGAGAGAGGATTTCACTTAAATTAATCTAGTTTCTGCTCAGGCAAGGAACTGCTACGATAATATAATCAGAAATACTCGCTCTTAAAATGTGCGAAACGAACTTTGCTCTACAGATTAAATCGTGCAATCTATGCGCGAAAGCAGAGTTTGGCCTTGATGTTATTTAAGAAAAGCTAAACCAATTGTCCAATAAGAATCAGTACAGGTTTACAAAAATGATTTAATGCATAACCTGGAACGGAAATATTTATAATGCCTAAAATTGCTTCAATGAAATTAATAATTCACAGTGTGTCATAAATATTTGAACATGTAATGTCATGTGTTGATGTTGTGTTTAAATTTGTCCATTTTGATGGAAACCTATATTGTAACTAATAACAAATTATATTGTTGAACTATTTGTTATGTGTTCAAGGTTTCTAAATAGTGAACTGATCTTTAAATTAATATAGTCAAATATATTTCAAAACAAGATTACCTTAATCTATACATTTAACGTTGCAAACAATAAAATAATTAACTCATAATTTAACAATTTGCATAGATTATCCGTTCCAGGTATTGGTCATACATATATTATGAATCTTGTCCAATACAATAGAAATTGTATTTTCTCAACAAATGTAATTTACGCGAGTGTTTTCAAGTATATTTGCTGTCCTTGTGGAACAAAAACTTTACAGTTCCTCATTTTAGAACGAATGTTCGTATTGTCTTCTTTGTGAAGTATTGTTGTGCTTGAAAAGTGATTCATATGTAAAAAAAAAAAAAAATGAGGCAACTTTGATAAAAATGCTATTTTCTTTATCAGAATGCCTCTATGGTACACATACACAGCATTATTCAAACGCGCAAGAGGATGTGAATCGAAATTGACTTGTGCAAAGTGCTAAGTTTTTATTAATCACAATGAAAATGATGTTTTTTAGCATCTAGACCAATTTTCACAGCTTCAAATGTTTGTCCTTTTAACTAAATATCAGCGCATCACTATACTTGTAAAGACACGTAACTGTCTAAACATAACAACAGGCGGAAGGGTGGATACAAAATGTTTGAAAACATTTTAATGAAAACGTTATGAAGACTTGGCAAGCTGAGCACTCTGCATCTTTGTACAATATGCTACTTAATGCTCACTCGATAATTATAATTATAGGCGGAAATCAGTATACTTGTAATAATAGTGTCTAGATGAAGATATGAAAATAATATAAATGTGAAAAGATTGATTTAATGATATCGATATGAGGAATAGTTACTATTACTGTAATATAAATTATTATTGATTCTTGGGGAAAGAATAAAACAAAAAAAAAAAAGAACGTTATAAAGTATAATATGTTTTTCAACGTAATTTGTTACATGTTTTATACAGTCTATGAATATAAACGTATATAATTCCTATACCAGTTAGAAAAGATATACAGACATCTCAGTAGATTCTGTATGATATATGATCAGCAATATACTTATATGGTACATTAGACTGATGGGTGCCATTTTTAAAGTTTGACCAGACAACCATAGTCTATATATTACATATTACGATTTGTAATATCATGCAAAAGTTTTAATTTTATTTTTTAAAATTTCGCCGGAATATGTAAGCGACTTTCAGAATCATAATTTGCTGATCCTAGTCACTTCTTTTGTAGCACTTTATATGCTTCTGCACGTTCCTCTTCCAATTCATTGGATGTAACATTTAATTTTGATCTTGCAAAGTCACTGATCGGTAATCCCTAAACAGTCGATATAAATGTAAATTAGTTTTTATTTCTAAAATATATTTAAATGTAAGAAATTATAAAAAATTATTTACTTGAACAATTTTATACTGTCCATTTGGTGTTATAGTAACTGGGAGAGAGAACACAACATTCTTTGGAATTCCATAGCTGCCATCAGAGAACACACCCATACTGACATATTCACCAGGTAGGGTACCCATCCACCAATCTCTCATGTGATCTCCAGCTGCTTTAGCAGCTGACATTGCAGATGACATCTTTCTGGCAGCTATTACTGCTGCACCACGTTTTTGAATTGTTTCCACAAAGGTAGTATTCAACCAGTTTTCATTATTTACAGCTGAAGGTACTGACTTTTTGGAACCTTGAAGCATCACAGTAGCATGTGCAGCATCAGGGTATTGAGTTGAACTGTGATTACCCCAAATAATAACATTTTTTACTTGGTCAACCTATTCACAAATATTATATTATTTATTAAAGCAGTAAAATTTTCTTTTGGAATAGATGGTGCATAATGAGAACAAATTAAAGCATTTGTATTAGCAGGATTGCCAACAACTAAAATTTTAACATCTTTTCGGGCATATTTGTCTAGAGCTTCTCCTTGAACTTTAAAAATTTCTACATTAGCAGCTAATAGATCTTTCCTTTCCATTCCTTCTTTTCGGGGCATTGCCCCAACAAGAAAAGCTGCAGCTACATCTTTGAAGGCTACAGCTGGATCAGCTGTAGGAACAACCTCTACAAGTAGAAAGTACATATATAAATAGGATATAAGTCTTTTTTTTTTTTAATCAGAAAACAAGATAATTTCAAAAGTATGGTATAGATATTATGTAACATCAATGTTATGTAATATTTTTTATTTATATTGATTTGATAAACTGCATGGTAATAATTTTATCTAATATACTGTAATCTTCTTAAAACATTTAATTGAAAAATATTTGATTTATTTTATACAACATATA